TTTAGATGGAGTCTCTCTCTGTTGCCCAGCCTAGAGTGCAGTGGCACTCTCTTGGCTCACTGCAACTTCCACCTCCCAGAGTCAAGTGATTCTCCTACCTCAGCCTCCCAAGTAGCTGGGATTACAAGCATACACCACTATGCACATCTAATTTTTATACTTTTAGTACAGATGGGGTTTCACCATGCTGGCCAGGCTGGTCTCAAACTCCTGACCTTCTGATCCACCCTCCTTGACCTCCCAGAGTGCTGAGATTACAGGCGTGAGCCCCTGCGCCCGGCCTTCCTGTCTTTTTAATAAGTATGTTTCAAAGCCGTTGCCTTCTCTAGAAATCTTTTTCTCTGTTCTGGAGGAAGAGCCTATAAACTTTGGTTTCAGTTTCTTTCTTTTTTTTTTTTTTTTCTAAAAAGGAACAGCAGTGTTAGATGATAACTCTTATTTATTTTTAAAATTTAATTTGGATCTATAGTCAGCTTCTGAGATTTATGGGATAAACTTTGGTTTACAAGAAATGGTGTAGTTAAAAAGTTAGGGTGCCCAGGTTCTCATGTAATATTTGTATAATCATCAACATTTTTCTGAATCCAATAATGAACACTTCAAACAATAAATGAAAATGAAACTAAGTATCAGAAGTAGCAAAATGGCCAGGTGTGGTGGCTCATGCCTATAACCCCAGCACTTTGGGAGGCTGAGGAGGGTGGATCACCTGAGGTTGGGAGCTTGAAACCAGCCTGGCCAACATGGTAAAACCCCATCTCTGCTATACAAAATCAGCCAGGTTTAGTGGTGCACATCTGTAAACCCAACTATTTGGGAGGCTGAGGCAGGAGAATAGAATCCCTTGAACCCGGGAGGCGGAGGTTGCAATTAGCTGAAATTGTGTCACTGCATTTCCAGACTGGGTAACAGAGCTAGACTCTGTCTCAAAAAAAAGAAAAAAGAAAAAAAAAGAAGTAACAAAACAGAAAAATGAAAAAACAATTTTTAAAAGTTTATTATACTTTAAGTTCTGGGGTGCATGTGCAGATCAAGTATACACGTACCCTGGTGGTGGTTTGCTGCATCCGTTGCCCCATCATCTATGTTAGATATTTCTCCTAATCCCATCCCTCCCCCAATCTCCCCACCCCCTGCTATCCCTCCTTTAGCCCCCCATCCCCCAGACCCTGATGTCTGATGTTCCCCTACCTGTGTCCGTGTGTTCTCATTGTTCAACATCCACTTATGAGTGAGAACATGTGGTGTTTGGTTTTCTGTTCTTGTGGATCCCTTCCTTACACCTTATACAAAAATTAACTCTAGATGGATTAAAGATTTAAACATGAGGGCTAACACTGTAAAAACTCTAGAAGAAAACCTAGGTGGTACCATTCAGGAAATAAGCATGGGCAAGGACTTCATGACTAAAACACTGAAAGCAATGGCAACAAAAGCCAAAATAGACAAATGGGATCTAATTAAATTTAAGAGCTTCTGCACAGCAAAAGAAACTATCAATAGAGTGAACCGGCAACCAACAGAATGGGAAAAAATTTTTGCAATCTACCCATCTGACAAAGGGCTAATATCCAGAATCTATGGAGAACTTAAATTCACAAGAAGAAAACAGCCTCATCAAAAAGTGGGCAAAGGATATGAACAGACACTTTTCATTTTTTTTTTCTTTTTATTTTTTTTTTTATGAAGACAGGGTTTCACCATGTTGGTCAGGCTGGTCTTGAACTCCTGACCTCAGGTGATCTGCCCGCCTTGGCCTCCAAAGTGCTTGGATTACAGGCGTGAGCCACCACTCCCGGCTGAATAGACACTTTTCAAAAGAAGACATTTATGCAGCCAACAAACATGAAAAAATGCTCATCATCACTTGTCATTAGAGAAAAATAAATGTTAAACATTCTATTCACCAGACTGGTAATTGTGCCAGTACTGTGGATACAAAAATAAAAGACTCTGGTTGGTAGCTTACATTCTAAAGAGACTGAGGAATAGATTTCCAGACTTTGTGCTAAGTGCAATAAGGACAGTAGGCCCAATGTGCTGTGCCAGATCCACATCAGGGGACACCCTGGAGGCCGGAGGGTAGAGGGTGTAGGAATG